GAGCTGGACTCTCTGTCGATCAGCAGCATAGAGGAAGAGCAGGAGTCCCAAGTGCAGAGCCCTAACCTGCACCACCCGTCTGCACACCGGTTGGCTGATAAGGTCATAAATCGGCTCTCAGCGGTGGGTCAGGCTCTCGGCGGGCTGGTAAGTCAGAAGAAAAGACTAACAAATCGCGTGCAGGAGTTGAGTGACCGTAAAGGTGGGGCGTTTGCAGAAGCTGTGAAAGGATTTGTGGAGATGACACTGAAGAAAGGGGCTGAACCCGGTGGAGTCAGGGGGTCAGAGTTCTTACAGGAAGTCAGATTATCGCTCACGTCACTGAGGGAGACACTGTTGGACTATCCAGAAATCCAGGCATTGTTGGACAGCATTAGTGACCTAAATGACTCAGAGATCGGTGAGTGAGCTGACTGTGAAGTTTCTAATAAAGATTTACATTTCAATAAAGTGTGTGTTAACATAATTAACAAAACGTGTTATAACCTTGCAATTCACTGTTTAGATCTAATTTCTCCTCACATACCTTTTGACCCTCCATAGACGCCCTGGTAGAGCTTTCCCTCCACAAGGTGGGTCTGAAGCCCGTCTCTGCACACCTCTACTCATGCATTCATGCCTCCCGGACCGATGACGGCACCTTCCAGCGCCTCCAGAGCAACCTGCGTGTGCTAGAGAAGAAAGGGATAGAGGAGCTAGGGGGCTCGGCGGGAGTTGGAGTTCCTGACTCTGTCACCCTGGAGCGGATCCAACAAAGGTGGACTAGTATGCACGAGGCCTACTCCCCGAACAAGAAGGTCCAGATCGTGCTCAAAGTCTGCAAAAGCATTTATCACAGCATGAGTGCTAATGCGAGCTCAGGTAGCCAGGCAGTTCTTTATGATTATGACTCCTATAACTCTACTTGTGTCCCGCTGTGTCAAATCAAATCCACACTCTCCTCTCCAGCAGGTACTGTGTTTGGAGCAGATGATTTCCTGCCTTGCCTGACATGGGTGCTGCTCCGTAGTAATTTGGTCACCTTACAGCTGGACACAGACTACATGATGGAGCTACTGGACCCCACACAGCTACAGGGAGAGGGTAAGGCACATACAATCTAACCTATACTACTAACTCCAAAACACACATATTTCTCTATGTATGCATGTGCAAATAAAACATATTATCATACCTTACCTTCCATACATATTGAATCAGGCCAGGTGGCAGGCAGTAAGAATGATTGTATAGAAATAGCCAGTCTTCTCACTGATGGCCTTGTTTGTTTATGTAGGTCTGTAGAGGCATCAATATTAAATTGTGACTGTTTCATAACCAGTTATAACGTATTATAGTAT